AGAAATTGCTCTTTTTCAAGAACAGCTCTGACAGAGCTACGGCTTGCCCAAGGTCATCCAGCCAGGTGCAAGTGGAGGAGTGGTGAATCAAACCCGGTTCTTCCAGATTAGAGTCTGCGCACTTAACCACTACACCAGACTGGCTCTCAGGGTAAGAAAGAAGTCTAATAGGGCCAATATTAAAAACCTAGTTGAAACATATACAAAAATACACGTATTTATTAGACAGACAGTTAAAAACATATACACATTGTGTATTAGCCCTTGTATTTAGTCCACCTTTACTTTTTTACAAGGCTTTCATTGGGCCCTTATATGTGTTTAACTGTCTTTCTAATAAATACATGTATTTTTGTATATTACAAGTTTCAACTAGGTTTTTTAATATTGGCCCTTTATTAGACTTCTTTCTTACCCTTGTGGTTCTTGATTCATGCTTTCTTTTGGTGTAGTGGTTAAGTGCGCGGACTATAATCTGGGAGAACCGGGTCTGATTCCCCACTCCTCCCCTCGCAGCTGCTGGATGACCTTGGGCAAGCCGTAGTTCTGATAAGAGCTGTCCTTGAAAAAGAGCAGTTTCTGTCAAGAGCTGTCTCAGCCCCACCTACCTCACAGGGTGCCTGTTGTGGGGAGGGGAAGGGAAAGGAGTTTGGAAGCCCCTCTGAGACTCCTTTGGGTAGTGAAGGCCCATGGGCTATAAATCCAATCTCTTCTTCTTCTTCTTCTTCTCTGGGAGAACCGGGTTTGATTCCCCACTCCTCCTCCACATGCAGCTGCTGGTGTTACCTTGGGTCAGTCACAAGTTCTCTCAGAGCTGTTCTCTCAAGGGCAGTCCTCGAAAGAGCTCTCTCAGCCCCGCCTACCTCCCAGGGTGTCTGTTGTGGGGGGGGGGGAAGGGAAAGGAGTTTGTCAGCCCCTCTGAGACTCCCTTGGGTAGTGCAGGGCCATGGGGTATGAATCCAACCTCTTCTTCTCTTCTTTTCTAACTTGCAACCTGGTGATCCGTTCGAGGGCACACTGCTTTAAGCAACTTGCGAAGATAGTTTCTGGAGGGTAGCCGGGTTGGTCCGTGGTAGAATGGCTGGGTCCAAGTCCAGCAGCACCTTGGGACACCAGCAAGACATTCAGCGTATCGTGACTCTCAAAAGAGTCAAAGCTCTGATAAAGGGAGCGTTGATTCTTGAAAGCCTTGATCGCCCCCCCAAATCTTGTTGGTTTCTAAGGGATGCCTCTGGACTTGGATCTAGCTTCTTTAAGTGCTGTTTATATAAAAACAAGCTTTTGAGCCTTCAGTCTGATGTAAATGTATTCTTTTTTTTACACTATTTATGTTACTTGTAGTCTGGCTTTCTCACAAGGGTACTCAAGGTGGGTTGCAGATAGTGAGTCAGGACAGTCAGCAAAAGGGGACATTCAGTAACCTCAAATGCATTAGGGTTTTAGAAGTCTGGAACCTCCAGAAAGAACTGAGGCATCGCATAAGTATCCACATGACGCACTAAGCGGTACTGAAGTTACATAAGAGGATCCAGTTTGGTGTCATGGTTAAGTGCGCGGACTCTAATCTGGGAGAGCTGGGTTTGATTCCCCACTCCTCCACTTGCACCTGCTGGATGACCTTGGGCAAGCCATAGTTCTGGCACAGCCATTCTTGAAAAAAGAATAGTTTCTTTCAGAGCTCTCTCATCCCCACCTACCTCACAGGGGGTGTCTGTTGTGGGGAGGGGGAGGGAAAGGAGTTTGTAAGCCACCCTGAGACTCCTTAGGGTGGTGAAGTGTGAGGTATGAATCCAATCTCCTCCTCCTCCTCCTTCTTCTTGAAGCCATATAGAGCAGTATAGATCACAGTCTGAAATCATTTATATCCAAGTAAGTTTAGAAAGCCAGGAGCTGCGGTGGCTCAAGTGGTTAAGACAGTGAACTGCAGGCTGTGGAAGGTCAGTAGTCCAGCAGTTCGAGACCCGGGTGCCGCATGACGGAGTGAGCTCCCGTCTCTAGTTCCCGCTCCTGCCAACCTAGCAGTTCGAAAGCAAGACATTGCAAGTCGATAAATAGGTACCACTTTGGTGGGAAGGTAACAGCGTTCTGTGCGCCTTGGTGTTTAGTCATGCCGGCCACGTGACTATGGAAACGTCTTCGGACAGCGCTGGCTCTTCGGCTTGGAAACGGAGATGAGCACCGCAACCCTAGAGTCGGATTCGACTGGCTTTCGAGCAAGGGAAACCTTTACCTTTAAGTTTAGAAAAGAGCAACTGTCCAGTAGCACCTTAAAGACTAACCAAATACCTGAAGAAGTGAGTAGTGACTCAGAAAAGCTCCCCCCTCCCCCCCCCGCCACAAATGTTGTGAGTCTTTAAGGTGCTACGGGACACTTGCTCTTTTCTGCCGCTACAGACTGACTAACATGGCTGCCCATCTTGATCTGACTCAGCCAAGGAAGTTGAAGCCTTCAGTCTGCAAGACCCCGAGCAAGGCTGTTAAAAATAGGACTTTTGGGAGGTCCTCCATTCAGAGAGAAGAGCAAGGGTCCAGTATCTGAAGACATGAGTGGTGACGCCCGAAAACTCCTCCCCCCCCGCCACCAATTTTGTTAGACTTCTCCTGGACTCTCTTTTGTACTGCTACAGACAAGACTAACATGGCCGCCCATCTTGATCTGTCTCCAAGTAAGCCTGTGAACCATTTTGTGCAGTAAATAGTATCTAATCGTTTGGACGAGGGTTTGGGAAGTTTGGGCATCCTTTCAAAAACTATTATTTGAATAATTTCAACGTGGCGGTGTGTGGGGGGGGGGTGTATGAGAGAAAGGGGAAGATAAACCGAGGACCAATGCTCCCTCTAAACTGTGAAGTCTTGTGAACAAAAATTCTACTTTGTGAGCCGCTGGCATTACAGTTGTGAGCGGGCGACTTGGCTGCTGCATAAATCCGTTTGCTCTGGAGCCCTCCAGAGAGCCAGTTTGGTGTCGTGGTTAAGTGCGCGGACTCTAATCTGGGAGAACTTGCACCTGGCTGGATGACCTGGGGCAAGCCGTAGTTCTGTTAAGAGCTGTTCTTGAAAAAGAGCGGTTTCTGTCAAGAGCTCTCTCAGCCCCACCTACCTCACGGGGTGTCTGTTGTGGGGAGGGGAAGGGAAAGGAGTTTGTAAGCCGCTCTGAGACTCCTTTGGGTAGTGAAGGGCGGGGTATAAATCCAATCTCCTCCTCCTCCTCCTCCTCCTCCTCCTTCCTGAGTGAAGACAAAAAACTGTGAGCTGGAGTCTAAAAAACTGTGAGCTGGCTCACACTAACTCAGCTTAGAGGGAACATTGCCGAGGACAGGAGTGTTTTACAGGGGACTCTTGTGCCAGCACTCCAGAGAGGAAAAATCATCCGAACTCTCTTCACTGCTGGAGAGTTGCTGGTGGCGAGGCTTGTGAGATGCACGGCTGGCCACATCTGGCAAGGACGGCGGTCAATGTCTTGGCTGATTTCCGCTTACTTGGAGCATCTGCTTCAAGAGCTGGAGCGTTTGTGATGGGGGGGCGGAGGGGGTGGATGCTACTCTTCGCTGTCCTGAGGCTGCTGAGGGAAGTCCAGGCCTGTCTCTGTGCAAGGCGGTGTGGAGCAGTGTTCCTGGGTCTGGTTTTTGTTTCACTCTTGTGCTCCCCACCCCTTTTGATTGGGGCCTTTTGATGACTCTGCTTATAGATCAGCCGTTTTTATTTATAGAGACGCCTTTGTACTTGTATCTTGTTCCCAGATGCTGAGGTGCGGAAATCTGTATGTGTTTCTGTTGGAAAATTTGGTAAAAATAGTTAGATATTCAGAGCTTGCAATGGATCTTTGCTTCACTGGAGAGGAGGCATATTCATTCTATGTAAAAACCCTTACTTCTAAAGGGAAAGGTACACAGGAAATCTACAAAACGACAAACAGTTAAGACTGCATCCTTACTGTTACAAGTACAACAACAGACTGACTGACCACACGGTTGGTAATGGAGATTCTTCCTTTCCTCTTGACCCCTAGAAGGAAATCACCTGAATACACCTCCTCCTCCAGAGAGCCAGTTTGGTGTCGTGGTTGAGTGCATGGACTCTAATCTGGGAGGACCAGGTTTGATTCCCCACTCCTCCACTTGCACCTGGCTGGATGACCTTGGGCAAGCCGTAGTTCTGATAAGAGCTGTCCTTGAAAAAGAGCAGTTTCTGTCAAGAGCTCTCTCAGCCCCGCCTACCTCACTGGGTGTCTGTTGTGGGGAGGGGAAGGGAAAAGGAGTTTGTAAGCCGCTCTGAGACTCCTTTGGGTAGTGAAGGGCGGGGCATAAATCCAATCTCCTCCTCTTCTTTTCTCATCACCTGCCACCTGACCCTTTGGACTGGAGATGCCACCGGGGATTGAACCTGGGACCTTCCGTATGCCAAGCAGACACTCTGCCACTGAGCCACAGCCTTCTCCTCAAAAGTATCGCTGCTAGCTGTGCCACCGGAGAACGCTCAGGGTGGTTGCCAGGATCCAGAGGAGGAGCCCTGACTGCTGTGTTAGACCGCAGGGGGGCCGTTTCCAAAAGTGTGGGGGGGAAGGTTCCTATCCTAGGAGTGCCTAGCAACTTTCTGCGTTTCCCTTTGGCGTTTCCTTCGTCAGTGGTGCCAGCGGGAGACACCTCTATTATACTTCACCCCAGGAATGGTGCATTTTTGAAAAGCTGGCTGCAGCGGGTGCCTCTTTCAAATTGCTGGGGCGCGGCATCAGTGTCATCAGCCAGAGGGCCGGGATTGCTGCAGATGGAGAAAACACGCACACTCAGCCTCGTCCCCGGTAAGCTCCCCTGCCGGGCCGCAAGCCCGTGGCTTCTGTGGAGCAGAACGCGAGGAAGTCGATCCGTCCCAAAGGGAGCACTCAGAATGGCTGGAGCTGGAGGCTTGCGTTCGAAGCCTCCCGTACGCGTTGCTAAAAAGATGGTGCTGAGATGAGATCGGCCGTTCCCCACACATTGTTAAGACCACGTCTTGTCTTTTAGGTACTTCAGCTCCCGGACCTGCGGCTGTGGTAGAGAACGGCGATCACGGGATAGAAGGCGGCAGGAAGGGTAAGCTTCTTGGTAGCACCATTTGTGTGTGTGTGTGTGTGTGTGTGTGTGCGTACATATCTGCCCTTCTGACGTTGAGAGGTGCTTCCCCACAATGTGATCCCGTACTGCCATTTTGTGTGTGTGTGTGTGTGTGTGTGTGTACGTATTGGAAGCACATGTGTCTTCCACCTAGCAGTTAGGACATAAGAACACATAAGAAAGAAAGAAGAGCCCTGCTGGATCAGAGCCGTGAGGGTCGATCTCGTCCAGCATCCTGTCTCACACAGTGGCCAGCCAGTTCCTCCGGAGGGCCAAGAACAGGGCAGAGAGGCCTGTTCTTCTCCTGAGAAGAGCCCTGCTGGATCAGACCAGTGAGGGTCCCTCTAGTCCAGCACCCCTGTCTCACACAGTGGCCAACCAGTTCCTCTGGAGGGCCAACAACAGGGCAGGGAGGCCGAGGCCTTCCCCTTATAAGAACACCAGAAGAGCCCTGCTGGGTCAGACCAGGGAGGGTCCATCTAGTCCAGCATCCCATCTCACACAGTGGCCAGCCAGTTCCCCTGGAGGGCCAACAACAGGGCAGAGAGGCCGAGGCCTTCCCCTGAGAAGAACCTCAGAAGAGCCCTGCTGGATCAGACCAGTGAGGGTCCCTCTAGTCCAGCACCCCTGTCTCACACAGTGGCCAACCAGTTCCTCTGGAGGGCCAACAACAGGGCAGGGAGGCCGAGGCCTTCCCCTTATAAGAACACCAGAAGAGCCCTGCTGGGTCAGACCAGGGAGGGTCCATCTAGTCCAGCATCCCATCTCACACAGTGGCCAGCCAGTTCCTCCGGAGGGCCAAGAACAGGGCAGAGAGGCCTGTTCTTCTCCTGAGAAGAGCCCTGCTGGATCAGACCAGTGAGGGTCCCTCTAGTCCAGCACCCCTGTCTCACACAGTGGCCAACCAGTTCCTCTGGAGGGCCAACAACAGGGCAGGGAGGCCGAGGCCTTCCCCTTATAAGAACACCAGAAGAGCCCTGCTGGGTCAGACCAGGGAGGGTCCATCTAGTCCAGCATCCCATCTCACACAGTGGCCAGCCAGTTCCCCTGGAGGGCCAACAACAGGGCAGAGAGGCCGAGGCCTTCCCCTGATGTTGCCTCCTGGTTCTGGGATTCATAGGATAAAGCAGCAACCTTGTTAGATATGTAGCTTTCCCCCTGTCCTTACAGAGGTTTACTGTGCTAAGGGATGTTCTCTTGTTTCATTGCCAGCAGCTGTAGTCTTGTAAGAGGCCTTGTTGAGCCCGGCAGCTCTCTCTAGCAAGCCCCTCTCCCCCACCCCCAATCTTAAAATACTCAAATGGTATATCTGAGATGGTCCAAAGTTGCCCGCTTCTTCCCTTGCTTTCTGGGCTCTCTTCCCCTTTCCCAAATTATCACATAAACAGCCTTGTTAACACAAGTTCATCGTACTCATAGTCATAAGCAATGCTCCCTCTAAGCTGTGGAGTCTTGTGGGTAAAAATTCTACTTTGTGAGCTACTGGCATTAAAGTTGTGAGGCAGCAATGTGGCTACTGCATAAATTAGTTTGCTTTGGAGCCCTCCTTCCTGAGCTGATACAAAAGTGTGTGAGCCAGAGGCTAAAAAACTGTGAGCTAGCTCACACTAACTCAGCTTAGAGGGAACACTGCTCATGAGAGCAATTTCGGTGTCATTCCCAAAGATCGGTAGCAGTCACGGTGGCCTCATTTGATCCAGATGCACACATGGGTTGTGGGCAAAGCTTACAGGCCGGCACAGTTTTTCAGAAAGTAACAAGGGAGGGAGCTGCAAGGACTTGCAGGGGTGGGGTGGGGGATCTCATTTTCTCCCGTATCCCCCTCCCCCATTATTTCGTCTTCACTTCCCTGGCAGCCTCCATAGCCTCTCTCCTTGTCCAATTCCCTTCTCTTCTTCCCACCCACCAGCCAGCCTACCTTTATCTGCTCCCCTGTCTTCGGTTTTTCCTCCTTCCCTCCCCCCTGGCAGCTTCTTGCCAGGAAAAATCAGGCTTGAGGTGGCTGCTATCAGGTTCTCCTCCATTAGGGATTATGACAAGGGAAGGGGTCAGAACACATCCCAGGGCTGCTTTGGCCTCCCAAGTCCACCCTTGGGGGGAAAAAACACCCATGGCTTTGTGTTGTAGAAACCAAGTCATGGAAGGTTCAGCAATAGTGTCGTGGTTGCCTAGCAACCTCTAAAATGGCAGCTGAGCTCAGCGGGCATTCGTAAAGCTACTGGTGTTTCTATTATTTTGGAGAGTTTTACTCCCCCAATGGAAGGTTGGGGGGGTTGTTTTGTTTTTTTGAGGCTGGAGATTTTTCTGCAAACCTGGGACTTCCGGTTTGTAGAGCAACCACTCCTATCTGTCCCTAGTTTTATTTTGTAGAGCTGTTGATTCACACTGTTACAGGGTTCGGAATTAGATATATGATGCTAAGCAATACGTGATACTGTATAAATACAAGGTTTAGTCTAATTTCTAGAAATATCGTGTTTGATTTTTTGGGGCGGGTACCCTTTTCAGCATTCCCCCACCCCCGTTGTGCTGCCTGAAGGGTTTTCTTTGACTTCCTGCCTGTTCGGAGACCTTGGAAACCATCCCTGCCTAGGAGAGAGAACATCGCTCACACAAGCCCTGCATGTCTGCCCCAACTCAGTTTGCAGCTTAGACATTTTTATGGCTCTCTTGCTTTGGCATCTTTTTTTGGGAGGGGGAGGGGTGGAGATGAAGTGATACGTTATTTTTCTCTCACTCTGTGTGTGTGTGTCTGTGTTTGTATGTGCGTCCTGGGGAGGGAGGGAGGGCTGCTGCCTATCCCGTGCCCTTGTTGGTGTCTTCGTCCTGGCCACCAGTTTTGCTCAGAAAAGTTGAATTGCACAGCTTTATACAAATCGGAATAATTGGGGTTTCCGAAGGAAAAGCGGTGGGCATGTTGCAGCTTTATACAATAGCAGCTCTGACTAAATGCATCTCCACGCACAAAGGTTTTGTAGCTAGCATTAGTGGGCTGGCAGAATGGGAGCGGATACTGTTGGTGAAGTCCTGTGGATGATGATGATGAGGAGGAGAGTGGATTTATACCTCGCCCTTCACTACCCAAAGGTGTCTCAGAGTGGCTTACAAACTCCTTTCCCTTCCCCTCCCCACAACAGACACCCTGTGAGGTAGGCGGGACTGAGAGAGCTCTTGACAGAAACTGCTCTTTTTCAAGAACAGCTGTGCCAGAGCTACGGCTTGCCCAAGGTCATCAAGCAGCTGCAAGTGGAGGAGTGGGGAATCAAACCCGGTTCTCCCAGATTAGAGTCTGCGCACTTAACCACGACACCAAACTGGCTCTCACGGATGCCTGTGAAGGATAGAATCATAGAATGTTAGAGTTGGAAGGGCCCTTGCAGGTCATCTAGTCCAACCCCCTGCACTCTGCAGGAGCAGAGCCGAAAGAGAGCCCTACGACATACCTGAAAGATGGCCGTCCAGCCTCCGCATGAAAATATCCAGGGAAGGAGCATCCACCACCTCCCGAGGCAGTCTGTTCCACTGCTCAGCCACTCGTACAGTTAGGAAGTTTCTCCTGATATTTAGCCAGTAACGGTAATGGCTACACCAGGCCGGCCAGCCCACACGTGATTCCTGGTTGCATCCCGAGGTCTGTCCCATGGGACGGGTCATGTCCCTTGTCTCTTCTCTTGGTGTTTTTCCATGCCAGAGCTTCCGAGGACAGTCGCTGCTGTAGCTCCTTCCCCTGGTGTGGTCTTGCCCCTGGTAGCACCCATCTGGCAAGGAGGAGATCAGACAAACAAAGAACTTTGTAGGAGCCTGGGAGTGTAGTTGAGGGAAGAGACGCATTTCAGGCTCAGAATAACATGTGACAGACAGGCTGGGAAAGAGGTGTCCTTGGCGGGCGGGTACATTCTTAAGGAACTCTAATCAACTTTGGAGTAGACTTCAGAGGCAGGTCTCCTGAAGGTCATCTGAGGAAAGAGAATATTACCTCACTGGGATCCAGAGGCAGTGCTGCAATGGGTGTAATACAGTTGCTGTTTGAAGACAATGGTTTGGGTGAGAAGAGAAATGAACATACGAAGCTACCTTATTCTGAATCAGACACATTGGTCCAGCTGGGTCGGTTCTGTCTACTCAAAATGGCAGTGGCTCTCCAGGGTCTCAGGCGGAGGTCTTCCACATCGCCTACTACATGAACCCCATCAATGGTCCCTCTCAGCCGTTGAGTCTTGTGAGCAAAAATTCTACTTTGTGAGCCACTGGCATTGAAGTTGTGAGCGAGCGATTTGGCTGCTGCATAAATGAGGTTGCTCTGGAGCCCTCCTTCCTGAGCAAAGGCAAAAGTGTGTGAGCTGGGAGCTAAAAGACTGTGAGCTGGGTCACACTAACAGCTTAGAGGGAACACTGAACCCCATAACTGGAGATGCCGGGGATTGAACCTGGGACCTTCTGTGTGCCAAGCAGATGCTCTACCGCTCTGAGCCACGATCCATCCCCAATGGGACTAATGAGGTCCTTTTAACTGAAGATTGAGCCTACAGCCTTCTTCATGCAAAGAATGGCCCTATCACAAACTGTTGCCCCTCCCCAATGTCAAGTGTGTCAGTAACGTGTCCTGAAAGGCCTCCCCCAGGATGAAATAGGTTAGTCGGAAAGAGGGAATTGACATCCTTTCTGCTTTTGTACTTATCTCTGTGTTGCTTTGCTTTATAGTATAACTCACAGCATCTGAACAAGGCAAAGTGAAGCAGCGTAAATTTTGTCCCAGGCTTCATAAGGGGCAGCTTGAAGAGAAAAGGAAGAAGGAAAACCATCTGGGCTTGAGTTTTACTCGCCCCGGGATCAGTAATCCTGCAGGAAAGCAAAATGTGTTATAAAAAAGCAACCAGACATAAACCAAGGTGTAACCCCTTGAGTACCAGTACCATGAGAAGGAGGCACAGTATCCTCATGGGGTTGAGATTTAGAAGAAGAAGAGATTGGATTTATAC